TGTATCAGTGTAACACTGTACATAATTAAACTGAAAAAAATAGTACATTTCTTCATGTATGCGATTTAACCTTTCTTCCCTTTTTTTAGCCACTGTTCTGGTGCTGTTGTAATGTTACCTGTTATGCAACATCAGTGACAATACAAAAGTAAAAAAACCAAATACCAGTCATAGTTGTTGCTTGTATCATTTATAAATAAGATAGTGTATGTTATTTGAGATTGTAGAATGAGATGGTTCAAGAAAATCAAGAAAGCAAGATCAAACTGCACAACTACAGGAACAAGTACACATGTCCTATAATGTATGTTTCAAACTGCTATATTTATGAACTAAGACTCATTAACTGGGCAATGTATGGTAGCTTTCTTTTTAATTACACTGTTTTATTATACAGTGGAATTATTTTTCAGAATGCAGCTGTTTTCACAGACTGACCTTTTATTATAAGAGAAGATTCTGTCTAATGAAGAGAGATAATTACAGTACACAGTAGGCTTTTGACATATGGAAAGCTATTGTTACTGGGACTTTCCTGTTGTAGAATTTTATTTAAGAGAAAACCATAATTTACATATTTTAAAATGTGTAAAGCTAAAGATAAGTAGTAATAAAGTTGAGACACAAACTAACAAAAGCAGTGCTAACAAGTGTCCTCAAATTATCCTATGGTGAACAGAGCAGATAAAACAGTATACATGACATAATATGTCAGACTAATGATGTCATCCATACATTTTTTTAAATTTCCTGTCACTTCCTGACCTCCTATATTCCTCTAAAGAGGTTGTAAGACTGAGTAAATAAACCAACCCTTACAGCTTTACAGAACTAGCTGTAAAGATTTTCAAGATTTACAGGATCTGAGATCATCCTACAATTCAGGAGACCAATAACTTTGGTTTTTCTAAGCCTTCCAAGGCCAACTGAATGACTGGGAAAGGATTATAATTTATAAATAAACAATGATACTTCCATTTGTCAAATAACTTCCTATCTTCCTACAAAAGTAGAAAATGCAGAGAAGTTATGACTGCATTTTCTGAGTCTTGCTAACATTTTTTTAACTTGTAAGTGTGCGTTATTTAAAAACTGAAGGAGTGCCCCATGGCTACAAATTGGACTTTAAAATCAAAGCTGGCTTTAAATAGTGCATCCAAACTGGTCTTTGTATCCAGTATACCAAAAGGGGAAGTTCAGACGTGAAATAAACCTTTCTCCTGAAAATCAGTCATTGAAAATTGGGATGTGTAAAATGATTTCTGAGCAATTTGGTTAAGAGTACATTTTGGTGTATTAGTAGGTGTCAACACTTCACATAAGCCTCCTGTAAATTCCAGTTGTGTAGTTATGCTATATCACCATGCTTGCTGAATCAGTTTTGTAGCATATGTGAACATGTGCCATCATGTACAGAACAAAATGGTTTGATGTATTTCATCACTTGTATTAAATTATTTGTTTTCAAAAAAAGATCTTTTTTCCTTTATTCTGCCTTCCCAAAGAAAGGTGCATTTCTTATTTGGGACCCTGTGGTTTGTGAATAAATGTACGATTAGATAGCAGGTTTAAACCAGAAGGAAATTCTTTTTCACCCAGCATGCAATTAACTTGTGGGACTCATTAGTACAAGATGTTGTAGAAGCTGAAAGCTGAATCTGTTTCAAAAGAGGATTAGATAAATTCATGTAGTATAGGTCCATCATTGGGTATTAAACATGATAGTGTGGGCTGCAACCTACAGATTTCCTAATTTCCTAGTTCTCTAAATGCTGAAAGCTGTAAAGACAGAGGGTCAGGGAGAAGATCAGTCTTGGTATGCCCTGCATAAATACTTTCCCTCTAGCATCTATCCTTTGCCACTGGGAGATAAGGGATACTAGGCTAGATGGACCTGTGGTCTAACCCAGTAGGATATCCTTATATTCTTAATCCAAAGTATGCAGCCCAGACCATATCTTATTTTAAATAGGGTGGAATTAAATCATTTTTACATAACAACCTTGAGAAATGGGAGTAAGGAAGGTGGAGGGACAATGCTGTGGTACTAAAGCAGTATATGACAACCATGAACCCAAATAATGTTTATAGCCAAGGTATAGACTTAAAGCAAATAGGGTTATTAACCTACATATATAGGAATTCTTATGGTTGCCCCATTATCATTTCTTAACCCAATTTCCTTCAGCGATGACATCATATTTCATTATGTTGAAAGGAAAAGGGATTTTACTCTCATTTTTTTATGCAGTAAGGCATCCTGGTTTTATTTTTATATGTAAACATTACCTGTTGTTCTTAAGGCTCTGAAATATTTTGTATTTTGGTAATTAAATGTATTGCTTGAGTTAGTATTGTACTTTTCAGCCTTTCACATTTAATTAATGTTCATGTGGAAATTATGAACAATTTATATCTGTCAGGAAAAGACAAGACTTAACGAATTGTTTCTGTGCAGATGTGAAATTGAGGCAACTTTAGAGAGACTAAAGAAACTAGAGCGTGATCTGAGCTTTAAAGAGCAGGAGCTAAAGGAACGGGAGAAACGTTTAAGAATGTGGGAGCAGAAGTTAACAGAACAGTCCAATACTCCTGTAAGTATGAAGTAATTCAGCTTTTCTTCTGATTCCAAAAACAGGCTCTGGATGTCATCTGAATAACTCCAGGGATGTTCTATGGAAAGATTACCACCACATCCTCCATTTGTTTCTATAGTCCTATTGTATTAAGCACAAACAGTAGTCTTTTGCCCAATGCATTGCACATAATTTATTGTGCTATCAATATTTTTTCAGCTCTTCCAATTTATTTAATGATAGTTTTCGGCTTAAATATTTGTGGCTTAAATACAAGAATGATACTATTTGAGCTATGCTCAATATTACACTTGATGACAATATGATACATTTGTATTGTTAACCTCAGTTACTAGAATTTATAAGATTTTTGATTTTTATATTCAAACCAACCTATTCAATAAAGTCATAATTCAAAGACTTCGACTGAATGGATGTGGAATTGAGCCCCCAAAGTAATAATTTATGTTTAGTGGAGAAAAGGCTTTAGAATGCTCAGTAATTCATTTTTCTAGGAGCAAAACCAAAGTTTATTGTATTATATGCAATAGAAGGCCAGAAATACTAGATGATTTTAGATTTCATTTTATGAGTCTTGCTAACATATTTCTACTTGTAAATGTGCATTATTTCAAAACTGAAGGTGTGTCCAATTTTTTATAAATAAATAAAAAGGCGAACATTTTCAGTATTATCCCATATTCTTTATTGAGACTAAGACTCTTTAACTTCTGTTTGAGTTCTGTCAGAGAGAACACTACAATAAGGCCTGAGTATGCATGTTAGAACAGAAAAATATGTTTCTACTTGTATTTACAGTATTAGGTAAAACAGACAGAATCATAGAAAATTAGGGTTGGAAGGGACCTCAGGAGGGCATCTGGTCCAACCCCCTGCTCAAAGCAGGACCATACCAGGTTGAGATTGCAGGACCTTGATTCCTTTATGCCCAATTTAATCTTTTTTTTTTTTTTTGCATAGAAATATTCTAGACAACCCAGCTTGCTTACAACTTAGTTTTGAGGCACAGCTTGTTAACATAGTATGAAAGAAGCTGCACACATTTTCCAGCTATGAATGTGTAGTAATGTAATGAAGAATGAATGTTTTCCTATACCTAGACACTGTATGTCCTATACCCAGTATCTGCATGCTTGCTTTAACACTAGCAAACTTTCAGCAACTGAGCTGTGGGCTGTCATCTACACAGACACTGTATGTCCTATACCCAGTATCTACATGCTTACTTTAACACCAGCAAACTTCCAGCAACTGAGCTGTGGGCTGTCATCTACACAGAGCAAAGCGTGAGACACAGCCTTAATGAGAGAAACTCTTCATGAGCAACATACTTAGGTTCTTTTATTATTAATTTTTAACTGCTGCAGTTACTCATCACTTCTGTTTTCACTTGTGGCTAGTGTTCTGAAAGAATGAAGGATTGTGTTAAGGTATATTCTACTTGGCATGGACTTTATTTCTGCTTAACATTAATCTGACTCTCCTATTGCATTTTAAATGCAGCTTTTTTGTAAGAGGAGTTTGAGAACAACGTGAAATGTATGGGCTTATATTTTGGATACTTTCAATGATCTATTGTAGTGCTGTACTGGAGTAGCTAAAAAAAACTTTTCAAATTGTTGCATAGGCATAAATACTTGCCCTGGTATAATAGGTGTGTTTACTTAATGGCAAGTTACCTTCTCCTCAGTGCTAATTTATATACTTTCACTAAAAGTACATCTTGCTGATGTACATTAGGAGACATAAAAGAAAATGAATAAGATTAAAATGGTGTTTAGAAGGGAAAACCTAAAACAAATGGAAAGAAACAGTAGACCCATATATCGCTACAAAAGGTGCCCTGCTTTTCAGAGCTGTTGGGATCTGCATCGTGACAGTTCCACATGGCAGAGACTTCAAGACTTAGGATGAGAGGAGTCCAGGATATATACTGAGTTGGATGTTCTGACCTCACAAGCCTCTGAGGTCCATTAGTTTTGAAGTTTCATAGTATCATAGTAGCTAGGGTCAGGAGGGACCTGAACAGATCATCTAGCCTGACCCCCTGCCACAGGCAGGGATGAATGCTGGGGTCAC